ATGTGAGAAGACGAGGACCTACTGGTATCACACATCCATGACGACTGATACCCATATTTGGGCAGGGGGAACAGGAAGCTGTTTAGTATTCCACACACTCATGCAGCATTGAAGAGGCAGACGAGGGAAGCTGTTTTTGTAAACACTGACATCACCAAGGAGGCATTCTGGGACTCTAAATCCACAGCACGGGCCGCATTCACATTACTCTTGCTCTCTCATTCTCTCTCTAGCGGAACTTCTCCTGTTAAGGCAAGTGTTTCATCTATTTTTAGCTCACGGCTCCCTCTCTCTCCTCGGGCCGGCTGCGTTCCTGCATCAGTGCGTGGGCTGACTGCAGGCGGTGGGTGATGCGATACGCACAAGTGCTGCATTGAAGAATCACCGCGCATCTCTTCACAGCAAGAGACTGCAAGTTATTCAGAGTTGAGGATGCGATGAAGAGGATGATAACGGAAATTAATTAAATTTGTATTACTTCCGCTCATTCGATTTTATAACTGGTCACGTCCTGAGATTTGACATCATTAGAGGTGCTAATTTAGTCCTGTTTACACTTGGTATTAATATTCATCTCAGGTGATTCAAAGTGTTCAGAAGAATTACAGTTGACACCGGGTTGTAACCATTTAACCAGTCAGTTGACATCATTTTGTAAATCAACTAGTCAGTGGGTTCCTTGAATGACAAGTTGACTTATTCTTAAAAGGATATATCACCCCAAAATGAAAATTCAAACATAATTTACTCAACCTTTAAGTGAAACAAAAAGATACAAAAATTGTGAATTTGCACTTTCATTCAGTTCGTCTGCTTTTTTATGCATTAGTCTCAGTAGGCAAATTGCACATAAAATTTTGACTGAATGTTTTGTTCCTATTGGTATGAACAGGCCTTCAGTGGGGTCCAATGTTGTTTAGATACCAGCGTTTTTCAAAATATCATCTATATGTGTTCTGCAGAAGAAGGAAATACTGTACATATATGACATAAGGGCAAGAAAATGGCAGATTTTTTTCATTTTTGGGTGAACTATCCCTTTAAGAAAATTCTGTATATTGGGCTGGGCAGTATCTTAGGCCATGTCCACACGTACACGGGTATTTTTATAAACTGAGTTTTTCCTTCTTCCGTTTAAAAAAAAAATCTCAGTCCACATGAAAACGCAAAAGCATGCTATGAAGCACTGTCAAGAGCATGCCAAACCAACAGGTGGCGATATAATCTCAACCGTAAAGCCATGTTGGCCAATCAGAAGCCTGAAAAAGTTTCCAGTAGGCGGAGATAACAGCGCATGCTCCGACGTGACAAGCCAAAATCTCCGGTTTCTCTGTCTACACGATAACACTGCAACTGGAGTTTTTGAAAATCTTCACCCTGGCAGGAGATTTCAAAAACGTTTGGTTTCAGTGACCTGGTGCTGCGTTTGCATGTAGACAAACGGCCAAACCGCATAGAAAAAGCTGCGGTTTTGAAAATACCTGCGTTTGTGTGGACAGGGCCTTAAACTGCATCTTAAACTATCAAAAAACAGTGTGTGTGATGTGATGCAACTTGTTATGCGATGCAACGACAAGATTAAAAAATATATTTTAAAAAAAATGTGAAAATATAAAAACTAAATATTAAAATAAATACATATAATATTATATAGTAATAAAATACAAATACAAATAAAAGAAACAGGCCTATTCCACATGCATAAGTCAACTGCACTAATAAACTAGGTTGTTGGACAACAAATCAACATCCATAAGCAATAATATAGCACAGGGACACAACAAGTGCACACACACCTCAGGCATGTGAACTGTGCTAGCCATTAAGCTTCAGATCTTACATTATTAACGCACATGTGGCCGCTTTTGTGCAACATCCTTTAAAACCCTTCAGTCCATCTTAGAGACATGCTAACAAGTCAAAGAAGACAGGAACATCTTCACGTGGGGCTGACTGTGACAGGCAAAAGTGTTTGACTGAGATTGTGTGACTGATTTTAAAGATTCATGGCCATCATCATGATGGTCTAAGGCCAGTGAAGCCTCCCATTCACAGAACTGCCTTCCTTATAACATACAATTAAATTAAATTAAAGCCAGAAATAAGTCTGTATCAATTATTAACGCTGGGCTAAGACCTCACTTAAGAGATTTATTTAAGCGTGCAGCAATTGGTTGGGTCCACATATCTGATGCCATAGTCCCCACGTGCTTAAACACACGCACCCTCACCCATACAGTCTGCATGAGTATAAATTCATAACACAGATTCATTCTGCAAGTTGGATAAAAGTTTCCACTTCATGCCACTGTTGTCTTGCTAGCTCTTTCAAAGTCTCTGGATCTAAATAACACTGACATTAAACACACACTTACAGAACAACAAACAAATCCTAACAAAACCTGTCACTCAAAAATTAACACACACTTCTTTGTCTTGCTCATGCAAATCAATCATGTACTCACTCAGAAAGCAACCAGACAAAGGAACTGGTATGTTTTGTGGTTATGACATGCATCTGGAATGCTTTCGGGCCATGTGAAGACAAGAACGAGACTCAGGGAAACAGAGACACATGCAACAAACTGTCAACAAGTGTAAACTTAAAGCACTGTTGATTAGATACCTGTAAAATCTAGGGATGCACCAATATTTACTCTCTGGCTGATGTTTATGTTTTGGCTGTACTTTATATCCAATATCTGCTGCTTCTATAATAAAAAATAAATATGATATATTTGCAGATATTGGGCCAATATGCTGTCGATATATTGTGCATCCCTAGTAAAAGCTGCATGATAATTCTAATGCACATGTATTTCTTTTAACTTGACATTCACTGCAAAAAAACAGGCACAGACAGATGACATGAGCATTACTGGAACAGCTGTAGAAACATAGGACAATCAACACATGCATGCACACATTAATTGCACTGTTGAGAGAGGGAGGAGCATAATGATATCGGACTTATGTAACATTTGAATACAAAACAACTTAAATAGCAACTTAAAACAGCAAAGGAAATATTAGCAACCAAACAACTACTTGTTTGGAACACATCCACTTCTGTATTTTAGTATTAATCCATGTTTATTTCTTGTCACTGCCATAATAACATAAATCATTCCTGATATCTACCACAATAGCAGTATAGTATTGATGGACACATTCTAGTATCGGAGCGGAATAAATGTCATACCATCCAGCCTTATACATTTTTGAGGATTAAAATATATTTTCTGCATAATCACAAAGGTACAAAACAAACACAGACATGCTTTAATTTGTCTAGTGAAGAAAAAGTCTCGGGTGAAAAGACTTAAATCCTCATAAAACTTTTCTCATTAAACTTTTCATACCCAGATATTGCTGCTTTTTAACAATGCTGAGACAGCAACACTCTAGAAATATCTCTCTTGCAGACTAAAATATAATCTCATAAAGACTCCAGCTCCGCCTGGCTATACTGTTTAGATATTGAGAAAACTGGAAATCAGGTAACTTATCTCAGGATAAGATGAAGCTGAATTCATTCAAATAATAGCCTTTTACTGATCAAATTAGAGCTGGGATTGTGAGCTTCATTGAAAATGTATTCAATGAGACACCAACCAGTGAAATGAAAAGATGAATGCTTGTAAAATGTTTCTGAGATGAATAATGGAAGTATAACCAGCTTTCATGTCCCTCTGTAAGCCTCTCCCCTCCAGTCCTCTTTAAAGAGAAAACTTCTTCTCATATTTGCTGCTGTGACTCTGATGTGCTTTTAGAGAGGATGAGATTATGCTGCAGATTCAACGGCCAGTCCCATCAAGAGTCTCACATGCCACTGATGTCTGACTCAAACTCTAGTGATGCACTGAACACGCAACCGGACAACAAGACTTGTTTGTTTGAAGTTAAGCATTGAGGCTCAAACCCACACTCTGATCAAAAAACTTGCCTAAACAGATTTAGGCTAAATCAAATGATATACTGATATAAAAAAATGCTCTCTTCAGCCGGATACCAATAGAACAGTACAACACTTCCTGGAAAAGTAAATATCAAAGAGTTATTATTTGTATATTCTGATAAGTATTTGGTGCGCCCATTTTATCATTGGTTGCTATGGTGTTTACTTCTCAGTTAGTCACTGCTACAGTAGCTACAAGGCACAGTCATAAATAATGAACAGACAGCAACACTAGTGAGGGAAAAAACATACTTGTTCTGTGACTTCAGATGTGTTCTCTGAATGTCATCTCTAAAAATGTTTGCATATGAAATTTTTCATGTTATGCAATCATTTGTAGGGCATAATTCATACAAGGGCTGGAGAAAAACAAATGATTTGCAGATGCTTAATGCACAAAATTAACATTCATTTTAAATTCATTGAAAAAAGTATGCAAAACAAAACATAAAAACCTGTTGTAGTGTGCAAAAACTGCCACACAATTGAAATATTTCAAGAACATTACTAAAGCCATTTTACGCAACAAAGATGCAGGAAGGATGCCATCTGAATCGGCATATATGCTAGAAAATACATAAACTTTTATAGCATTTACACAAATCACAATTAAAAATGTATTGTTTGTTATAATGCACAGCAGAATGGCAGTTTATGGTTGTGAAAGTGCAAATCGAGTTTTTGCATATTTTACGGCAAAGGAAAAATTAATATGCATCGAGAACCATTTTATAGTCTCATCACGACTCCCTAAATCTAAATTCTAATACAGATAGATGATTTTTCATAGAGAGACACGGAAATAAGACAACAGGATAGATGAACACAATGCAACCAACCACCAATAAGCAAATGAGTGAATCTGCAGAGTGTGTATGTTTGTACAAAGATAGTGTGTGTTTTATCCAAAGATACAGTCTTAAATATGCTGTACTATGTGCTCATACATCCAAAGCCATTCACACTGAAACCATCAAGTTATTCTCTTTTGCAATCCCCCTCCCAACCATAGGGGGCACTGCAGCTACAGTCTATAACTCACCAAGATCCTTAGAGCCGTGACTCTCGCTGGCCAGCTCTCCCATCCGCACCAGTGCGTCGAAGTAGCCTTTTGCTGCAAATGTCACACCTGGAAACATGGAAGCATTGGGGACATAAGAATCGGGACTGTGCTAATGTGCTAACCCGAAGCTTCCCTCAACCCACAGGTGCCGCATCTATGGAAACAGGAGTGGTGGATGGGAAAGCTTTAAGCTCTATATGTTCTATGATGGCTCAGCCAGAGAACTGGGGGAGGTGGGGGTGGAGCTTGTGATTGGTGAGCGATGAATAGCAAAAGTACCATTACTTTAAAATAAAAAACAAACAAAAAAAGCTTGATGCCCTCCAAAACTTAACATTCACATCAGATAGCACATTATTGAGAGCAATCACTCGTTTTGTGTGAGGTCCCACCACAGGGACAGCTGTGACTCTTCTGCATCACCATGGCAGAGAAGGGCTGGCTCTCAATCAGGCTCTCTCGGAGCCAGAAGATCACGGCAGTTTAGTGAGTGCTTCTGACAGTGCCAAGAAGCACAAAGTGTCTTGGAACTTAGGACCAGAAGGTACTGAGCAAGTGGTTAGCAAAGGTTAGCATGTTCTGCCTTGAATTCATCATTTTAAAACGGTTAAAATCAGGTAAGAAACCAACACAGCATATTTAATTTGATGCAAATATGAAAGGCTGTGAGGGACAGAAGTACATCCAATTTGTTGTGGAATCACATCTAATACTCAAATAATGTTTTTTAGAGTTTTGAAGTACGCAAACAAAGAAATGTGTTGCTTTGCACATTTGTTTCGTGCATTGTTGCATTTCAAAATGCTGCAATTATAGGAAAGCTCTATCTGTTCCAATACTGGATTACCAAGTATTGGAAAAGTAATTTTATTCTTAAATTTTAGATTACATTTGTCGCCATCTAACTTTGGTATTAATCATTAAAACAATAACATTTAATAACACTGTAAAACACTGTAATCTTTAGCAAATTTCAAAATGAATATCCATTTTTTATTACAGTGTACAGAAATGTTATGCCTAAATGTACTTGTAGCATTTGAAATAATTTATTTAGACAAAATAGTGTACCATTTAATATCAGCCATAAAATTTAAATCGACTTGTCTGTATCAGAATGACACAATTCTGCACAAGAATTTTAATAATGGTGCATCCCTATCTATTTCATTACATAGTGAAAGTACACAAGCATTGCATTCTCAGCACTGCCACATGTACTTGTGCTGTAAGATCTGCTTCTGGCCTCTGACATTTTGAATGGACTGTTGTATTCTATCCCTAACAGCCTTGTTGACATTCACATCAAATTCAATATGCTGTATGACCATCCCAATTCAAGGCAGTGGGAGTGTTTGGGTGAAGGTGGTAAGGCTACACCAATGGCAGCCCAATCACGTATGAATGTGTAGACTTATTTACAAGTGTCGGCACAAATCCTAGGCTCAGGATAAGGTGCGTTCTGGTTGTGAGGGATTAGAGGGGGAAATCTGGGGGCTTTGGTGCTCCAGCGGTTAGGCTGAGTGGTGAGGGGTAAAGGAACGAGAGAGGCAGCAGAAGGAAAGAGGATTACAGAGGTCTGAAAAATAGGGCAGAAAGTCTCTCCAACCATCTCTGAGGAAACATTGATCAGTCACAAGAGACAATCTGAAGTTAAAAATTACAGAGAAGCCCAATCTAGACCCAGTTATCACATTGCAAGTTTGTGTGTGATATCCTCTAGCTAAGTTGCTGACAGAAGTCTCCATTAAATATAGATATTAAAGTCTTTGGTCACTAATTATTCTTATCCAAATTATTTTTTTAACCTCCTAACCCTTTTAATCCTTCATTTCTAAGAGTCCTCCAACACTTCCAAGGAAAAGTTAAAGGAGGGGGATGCTTTAGGCTTAACAGCTGCTTATGCACAACACATCTCAACATAATCATCTACTCTAGAGCATGCAAATGGACCTCCAAAATCTCTTTGTCCTCTAGCCACTGTTGGACAATTGCAGCCAATGTTTCGTTTTTGTACTATGACATTTTAATGATCTATTAATTTCACTATTGGTTTCTTGCATTTGCCAAGCAGCCCAAAATCTTGCAAATGCCCAGTGGCCACCATCTGCACTATTCATTAGTGGGTACTGTGGAGGGTTTCCACTTTGCTGCCTGCAAGACCTGGCATATTTACAACTCCAGCAAATCCCCATGATGGATTCTGCAACCCTTCGTAGCTGCAGCCAAGGCTGATCTGCAAGGATGGGAGCGCAAATCTCACTCGAGTTGGGTCTATTTTCAACCTTATCTATCAGACTTCACACTCTCGCACACATACACACCCTCTAGAGCGTTGGTCTTTTTCTTGTATTTTCTCCCTCATAAAATATTAGATGAAGTCTGGAATGGTGAGGAAAGTGATTGGTTCTCTGCAGTACTTGGCACAGTGCAACTCTACAGGGATTCAATGCTCATCCTAAAGCTTCTGCCTTGTCCGTGGAGCTAAACTGAACACAAGAAGGGACAAGTGATTTAAAAGTTCTCTTTCATATTAATCAGAATTTTCCTAACCAGCCACGATCACGACTTATCTGTTTAATCTGTTGTTGTTTTTTTCTATTTCTACGGCATCCCGCCAAGTAAACCTCACCCAGAGTGAAATCTCACTGGACCGAAATACTACTCCTCATACATACAGTATTAAACATCAAATATGAATGAGGAGAGACTGTGGAAGTTTAAAATCAGATTTTATATTGGATATTAAATAACAAAAGGAAAACCACAAAAAGCATGAAAATACTAGCTTTGTGTTCTTAGTTTTACACTAGAGTGTTCACAAAATTAGTAGAACCTGTAGTAATTGGCTGCGTTTTATGATCGATTAGGTCTCATGTCTGGTTTTCGAGTTCGGTATACAAAGATAAACTGTTTGTCGTCTTGTTGCATCGTACCTGGTTAGTTTTTTTCAAGAGTGTTACATGTTAAAAATGATACATTGTTAGTAAATTGTTATTCTCAGAATAAAGTATTGTGAAAGAAAGAGGCAATGCAGAAAAGGACATTTAATCGATGCCCTGAACACCAGATACCTGTGCTACCTAGCGTTGTATTTGCCATACTCAGTCCTCCTTGTAGTGACATATCATTCTTGTCCTGAATATACATCTTCCCTGTTCCCTTTTTTGCTCCCTCCGTGGGACTGTGTCTGCTCCCAAAGCTCTCTCTGGCCTATTTATGCCTGTCCTCTGTTCCATTTTACTCTCCCTTCCTCCCAGTGCATATTTTTGCTCCGAAACACCTACGTCCTTGTCCTTGCCCTTGCCCAGTCAACATCTCAAAAACACACATGAAGGTCCGCACACATAACAGAAATACATCATCGATTGTCATTGGTTACATGTATGTCCCCTTTAACAAACATTCAACAAACATTTAAACAACATTCTACTAGAGTTCAATGCAAGAATTTTGAGTTTTTACATTAGCAATAACAAATCCCAGATGCTAGTCACAAAGGTGTATGCAACCAAGGAGGGGCGCTCTCCGTAAGCATGAATTTCAAGCAATTTCTTCTCATAAATTAAAGCAGACCTATGAAACAAGAGCTGGCTCATTGCCTGCGAGAGTGATAATGAACAAGCCACTGATGTACTCACTAGAGAGGGCCTTCTCGTAAGTCTTCCCCATGGCAACAAAGTTCCTTAAGCAAGGGTTGAACTGCTCCATGATGGACTGAAACAGAAATAACACAGCTTTAGTCAGCACAACAGCAGCAGTCACCATTTAGCGGTCATTCTCACCACTACAAAGAACACCAATGGGACAACAGATAATTAAACAGGTGAACTTCTTTTTCTGTAAGTCTATATTACAAATAAAGTGTTTGTCTTTTGGGGATACCAAGAAAAGATGGATGGAGAGAGAGAAAGAGCGAGCCAGAACTCTCACGCCCCCACCTTTCAGAACATTCTCATTAGTGGGACTTGGAGGGCATCATGCCAGCTGGGATTTGCCGTTCCTTTGTTGCTGGTGGGCACAGGATTGTGGGAGTATGTGGAGATCTACCCACTGCCTGACTCACCTAATCCAACATTAAGAGTTGCTCTTTAAAATCTATTAATTTCTGCTGAAGCTCCTCATTGAGGAGACCTATTCCTCTTCTCAAAAGAGCTGGTCCATTCAGAGTAAAATTGCTTGCTATATCTTGACTTGACAAATTAGTTCTGAGAACATTTTCCCCAGAGTCACGTTGTTTCTAGAGGCTTCATCACGGCTTTGAAAATAACAGGGCAGCATATAAAGGGACAGAGGAAGGGTTCTAAGAAAGCTGAAGAACAGAGGATGTACAAAAAAAAAACAATAAAGCATTGTACAATACAGATACTGTGGCAGCTGTGGAGAGAGAATGAAGCTATATGAATGAAAGTCTCTACTCGGTTTATCAGAATTGGAGTGGAGTTTTTTATGAACTCAATTAAGGTCGACGGTAAACTGATTGCTTGGGTATATCCCCAATCCCCCCACCCTGTGCTCCAGTTACAATGAAAGCAGGTTTCCATTGAAAATTAGGACAAAGACAGACTTCTTCAATCTGTAGGCCTATGTGTTGCTGCAATGCAAACTGAGATTCAGAGGTCTTTAGAGAACATGCAATTAATAAATTTTTGTTAAATCTGAAATGTTTTTATTTGCCAATATGAAATTAGAATATATATTATACTATTTGTACACTATTTATAAAGTTTGTCCTCTGTGAGATTTTTGTGTTAAAAACAGCAATCTTTTGAAATATTTTGTCAGCTTTGCAAGTCCTCAGTGTCACATAATCCTTCAGCAATCATTCTAATATGCTGATTTGGTTCTCAAGAAACATTTCTTATTATTATCAATATTGAAAACAGTTGTGCTGCTTAATATTTTTGTGGAAACTAAGAAACATTTTAATTCAGGATTCTGTGATGAATAGAAACTTCGAAAGAACAGCATGTATTTTGATTTTTTTTTGTAACAATCTCTCCAAACTTTTGAAGAATAGTGTATATTTATAATTATTATATATACTTATGAATATACAAATGTAAGCTAAATACAGTATTGATAAGCTGAATAATGAGAGCAGAAGCAGACAGGACAAGTAAATCAGCCCCAAATAAATCATTCATAAACATCCGTGTCTTTCTCTCACTGTCACGTCTTATCTAACAACATCTCAACTCACAATTATTTCTTATGTAATTCATCATCTGCTGCATGCAATCATACAGCGGAGTCTGTCCAGCGGAACTAATCTTCGTTATAAAAGCCTTATAAAGCAAAAAGAAAATGCAGACCAACAAATAAACACCAGCAGAAGAGATGAGAAGGAAATAAAGGCATTGGAGAAATTCATGGTCGGGTGCAAACACAGCTGGCATGTTTTCATCAAGGAAGGAATTACACAAACATAGTGTGATAGATATTATCAATATTGAAAACAGTTGTGCTGCTTAATATTTTTGTGGAAACTAAGAAACATTTTAATTCAGGATTCTGTGATGAATAGAAACTTCGAAAGAACAGCATGTATTTTGATTTTTTTTTGTAACAATCTCTCCAAACTTTTGAAGAATAGTGTATATTTATAATTATTATATATACTTATGAATATACAAATGTAAGCTAAATACAGTATTGATAAGCTGAATAATGAGAGCAGAAGCAGACAGGACAAGTAAATCAGCCCCAAATAAATCATTCATAAACATCCGTGTCTTTCTCTCACTGTCACGTCTTATCTAACAACATCTCAACTCACAATTATTTCTTATGTAATTCATCATCTGCTGCATGCAATCATACAGCGGAGTCTGTCCAGCGGAACTAATCTTCGTTATAAAAGCCTTATAAAGCAAAAAGAAAATGCAGACCAACAAATAAACACCAGCAGAAGAGATGAGAAGGAAATAAAGGCATTGGAGAAATTCATGGTCGGGTGCAAACACAGCTGGCATGTTTTCATCAAGGAAGGAATTACACAAACATAGTGTGATAGATCTCACTGCACCACATTCCTGTGAGATGAAAGCACATGATCGCATTCATGAGGTGAAGTATACAACTGGTATTCATACAACGACCAGGGTGCGTTTTGCATGTCAGGTTTGGTAAAACATAATGCTGAAGTGTATAATTTCTGCACATTTTAATGTCCACTAATGGTATCAGTATAATATCATAATGTCCCGCATAAGTGCTGTGGTTAAACATGACCAGAATGCAATGCGCTGCAAACCTTAAAATCTCATCCATTCTATATGTACATGGGAAAGACTAAAAATCACTAAGCCAATAAATTTAACCAAACTATTTTCCTCTCCCCAACAGTTTCCAGAGAGCTCTGTCCTAGAGAAATCAGCATTATGCATGAACCAGTGCCAAGCTGATGTCCACCCAACATCTAATCATTAAAAGCATTAAAAACACTCCACTGGGAAAACTCTCGTTCCTTGATTAGTCCCTCAGCAATCAATCTATGTTTAACAAGCATGAACGAGAGCAACCAAACCCCCGATTAGGTGTCATTTTCATCTCAGTGCAGCTCTGCCAGACACTAAACACAGATTACCATGTCATTTTTCAGCACTTCATTACAGACATGTTCATTAGGACATAATTAATAGTCTTAACTAATGAGTAAGATTTCATATTGATGCATATTCTATCAGCAGGACCTCGTTTAAAAACAGCTGGGGGAATTTCACGCTCCTCCTGAAATGAAGGTGCGCTCACATATTACAGTATCAAGTACAGCACTAAATATGAATGGTTTTATTAGATAATGCAGGCAGTCACCGAAGGAAATGTATAATTTTCCCTTTTTTATAAAATAGAGCAGAGGACCAAATGAAGCACCATTTCAACAGTCTGTTAACAGATATCCAACTATGTCAGCAGAAATATGCGGCCATTTATTGAACTTTACCCTTAGAATGTCTTTGAGAATATAAATGAGTCCTCGACAGATTTTCTGTATTCACATGCACACAGTTTGGCTTCGTCATGGTAATACATTGAGAAATGGGAGAACGGTTAGTATTTGTTGAACTAGCAGGGTTGTAAACATGCCTCATTTACCACAAACACACCCTTAAACATCAACACCTACAAACTTGGTGCTACTGTATATAAACCTGCTACAACACAAACCTATGATGTGAAACTAATGCAGCTGCAGTCTCAGACAGCTTGGAAAAGATTGATGAATGTAAGGTGGGTGTATGTGTGCCTGTGCGAGTTCACCGTGAACATCAGCACTGTGTGCATCCCACTTCAGAGTGAGCTTGGAGAGGTGAGATGGAGAGAGAATTACTTCCTTGCCCATATATGGTTGTGTCGGAATTCCCCCCCACCCCCATTACTCTCTGCTACAGTGCATTCCTATTCCCTGCACCTTTGGATCGTACCATCTGATTGCAGTAGGAGGGGGAGTTTGTGCAGCTAGAGCTTGTTACCTTTGACCGAAGGAACACTGTGTCCCCCTCCATCCCAACACCTTAATTCATTCACAGAAACACAGATGAGAAATGAGTGAATCACGATTTCAATTTCAGTGAAAGGAGACAAAGATGAATATGGCTGAGATGCATGTGCTGCTACATGTGTATAATGAATGCATATAATGGGCCTGTGTGTGTGTGGGTGGGTGAGTGTGTATTACTGCACAGTTTCATCTCTCTGCTGGTGTACCCTCCCATGAGATCTCGAATGAAATGTCACAGCAAAGATTCCAGCATTTCCCAGTTATCTCCTCTTGTCTCAAACACACAAATGCGTCAAACCGTTCCCCTTCCTCTCACCTTCGATCAGTGTCTCTCATTCTACTGTATTCCTCCTCTTGCCCTCTCTAACTGTGAAAGACACCAAAATGAAAAGTAAATAAGAAAATATATTTTGCATGCCTTTTTTAGGTCCATTATGATTTTTTTCCATTGTGAGGTTTTCATGACAATTAAATTCTCCTTACTATAATGCAAAAAAACTCTTATAAAAATTATTGTTATAAAAATTACTGTAATATACTGTAATATAGTTAGTAATGAAAACCATCCTGTTTATAATAATTTTAAAAAGCATGAATTAATTTCAGTTCAACAAATACTACCATGACATGCAGTTGTATTGTATATACAAATTTGTTAGATTTACTTATTTATCAATATAATTTATTGATAATGAATCATTATTTATTCATTTTAAGTATGGTATATTATTTTATAATATTTAGATTTTTTCAGGGATTCTTTTTCCACACTTTTTTTTTGGAAGCTATATAAATAGAATTGGAAGCTATAGGCTATAAATTGTATGCAAAATATAATTTCATTTTTTCTTTTGATTTGTGCCTGAAATATGAGATGAATATTCCCAGACATTTCTTGACAATTCACATGCGATTCACTACGCTAGACTGCTACCACATCATTTGCAAGGTGAATTTGCAATTCGTGGGATGATCAAAACAAATATAGAATCTCACCGCTGTAACCCTACATGTTTGTTCATCAGAGATATTGTAATAGGTTTCTCTCATTCCTTGCCAATTCCATCCTCCGTTCTTACACTGGTACCCACTCAAACCACTCTGCCTGGCAGGCATGACAGTAGTAGGCCCTATGTTTGCCCTGCCAGTGTCTATTCATAACAGGCATGACAATTATAACAGGCAATCACATTATATCCATCATGGCTGCCAA